ATTCATTGCGACGAACAAGTCGAAGCCTTACCTTTGGACTGCTCTGCAGAGAGAAATACCAACTTTCTCGACAAAAGGTCTGGACATAACGGCTGAACCGAAGGGGCAATTCAATACTAGGTCAACGATTCACCACGACCACGTCGCCATCGGTTTGGGGTATTCGGCAGAGGTGTACTGAGACAGTGAAGCGTGTTGACTCCAGCTGATGCGTACATGACGGCTGCCCAAAGCATTCGTTGATGCCTGAAGGCTTTGACTCTTGAATCTTTCGCTCCGATCTCGTAAACAGATCATGCCCTTTCTTCGCTGGCAAGCTGGAGGGCACCTGTCTCGTATAGCGCCATCTCTCGTATACATTGGTGTATCTGGGGACGAGGCCTGAATATATAATCGACTTTTTTCACAACCATATCGCGCTGAACCTGGTAGTACAGCGTCCGGCTAGCAGAGAGACCTAATATTCAGCATTGTATGCCGTTCAAGGCCATCGATTCTAGTCTACATCAATCGTCATCTGTACGTCATAAACATGAGCCCAGAAGAAAAGAGAATGACAGTTTCATTCCCAGAGCAGTAGCTACCAAGGGGGGTAAAATGACAATAATCTCTCGATGCACAACGTCGTTCTGGTGGGTTGATAGCTTCAAATATCTACGGGCCTTTTTCCGCATCGTCAGCCTTTTAGTCAGATCTACATTCGTTCTATCTCTACTACGTCACGCGTGTCTCCTGATCCACGCCGTCGTTCTTGACCCAGACTGCTGTGCTGGACCGTGACTGCTGTAAGGCGACCATCAGTCTGTCATCACTCATGACATAACCTTCGGTGATACGTCATATTAAATCTCAGATCATCTGTGAACGGCAATTGTCAGAGGTAAGCTGATGCCAGCTAGAGCGGCGACGAACCCGTAATTGTTATTTGTAGATGGGTATATATGGACATAGACTACGCTCATAGTTGGGTATTTTGCTGGCAATGAAGCGGCTTCCTTTCGCTTCGATCAGTACTTTTGCTACTTTTACAGTTACGCATGCTCTAGCAGAAGCTATCGAGGAGGAGTGTTGGAGGGGCCCTGCGATGAGACTCGGAGGCGTGGAGTATTTTGAGACTCCTGACGATGCAGCCGCATGTCCTGAGGCACACGTCTACTTTCTAGGCTCCCAGCGCGAGGTACTTCTTTCCCAGCAGGTGAACATCACAAACTCGTCTACCACTTGCTCTTCCAAGCTGTTGCAAGCCATTTCCTTGCCGGCAGACCTTGGCGCCACCTACGCCAAGATAACTTTCTTGTGCGGCAACGACGACGACCCCAGCTGCCAGATGATCCGGCTCCTGCCACCAGATGCCTCACATTCAGCTGCGACACTGCCTTTAGCAATGACAAGAACATGTCTCGAGTCGAGCATCACGACGGCTGCCTCCTTACCATCGGACGCTACCGGTACTGCAAGCGTTTCGTGGAACGGCACTTCACCCACGACCGTGGCCAGTCTTCCCACTT